GCATCTCTTGGTATCGTACACAGCTGCTTCCCATAGCAACAGAGTACTTGTGGGTTGAATGTGTATTTCCTACCGCAACAGTATCCTAAAGCTTGCATTACTGGATCTATTTCTTGTTCAAAAACTTCTGATAACTGTGAACGAAAAAAATTAATGTATATATATATATATATATATATCACAAAAAAAGAAAATAGAAAAGAAAAAAGGAAGAAAATAAAGAGAAAAAAGAAAAGTAAAGAAAAATATATATATATATTGTTTTTATACTAAAAATTTATAATGAAATGAATAAAGAATAAAATGAATTGTATTTTACCTTTGTACAATATCTATAAACTCGAGAAGTTTTGCGATTATAAAGCCAAGCATTGTCGAACATCATCCAAACATCATCGACATATTCCCAAGGATCACTATATTGTCCTGTATCTAATTTTCTTTTGATCGTTGAAAGATCCATTGGTTTTTTAACAATATCAAAATAATCAGGTATGCCCAATGCTTGTGGATCAACTGGTTGCCTGAATGGTAAAGATTCTGGATCCTGTCGATACAATTTATCAAGCGTTGGCATAAGTGCTTGGCGTAATTCATCGGGTTTAAACAAACACAATCTTTTTTTATCGGATGATGTACCGCTAGGTTGTATTGGTTCAGGAACAAGAGGTTTTATATCAGACGTTGTCGTATCTTGACTTGACATTGAAGTAACTGTCTCTTCTTTTATACCAGATGATTCATCTTTGACAACACCCTCGGCTGAACCTTCCTCCATTGGTTCACTTTTAATTTCGGTTTTAATCGATACATCATTGTTAACATTTTTACCACCGTCCATCCTATCCCTTAACCATTCAATATCAGAACCGTCCTCTTGCTTAATTTCCATCTTCATATTTTCCTCTTTAATCGAATCCAATTTTCCTTTATTATTGTTCATTGGCGGACTAGGAGAATTATCACGATCCAAGGCCGCCGTAATAGCGGCCATTTGCGAAGACATCGATGAACTTCTTGGGGCATTTAACGCAGCTCTTTCCTGGGAAGTCATACCCTTTCCCAAACTTGCAAGGCCAGCTGGCGATGGTGTCGTACCCGGATGAGGTGGGGTTTGATTAGCGGAAGATACAGTCTGATTTGGAGTCATTAACGAAGGAACTATTGGCGTATTAGGGGTGGAAGTTGTAGACTGAGGTCCATTTGTTGTTGTAACAGGACTAGGAATGGGTCCACTTGATGCAGGAGGTGGTATAGTTTGTGGTGTTGTTGTGGTTATGCTAGGATCACCAGGCGTAGAAGCTGACAATGGTCGATTATTACTAAATTGTTGATTTTGTTGCTGATTAGTTTGTTGTTGTTGTATATTACTGAACGGCGACGGTGCTTGTGGCATTGCAGTAGCTGCGGCACTTTGATTCGAAGTACTTGTTGGTTGTTGTTGTTGTTGTTGTTGACTTTGTGGTTGTGGCTGTGGTTGTTGTTGTTGTTGTTGTTGTGGCACACTTTGTGGTTGTTGTTGTTGTTGTTGCTGCTGTGGTACACTTTGTGGTTGTTGTTGCTGTTGTTGTGGCACACTTTGCGGTTGTTGTTGTTGTTGCTGCTGCTGCTGTTGCTGTTGTTGTTGTTGCTGTTGTTGTACCACTTGAACTTGAGCAAGCCTGACCTTCATGATATCAGGAAATTGATGTTGATTTTGTACGGGACTACTGTTAGGTAAACTGGAAGTGCCATTGGAGGTTGGAAATTGACTAGTCGTTGCTGATGTAGTTGTCGTGGTTAAATTAGCCTGCGACATTTGTGCCTGACCGAATGGACTAAGACCGGAATTTTGAACCATACTTGGATTAGATGTTGATTGTCCATTTGGACTGGGACCAGAAGGCCCAACAAGTAATCCTTGCTGTTGTTGTTGTTGCTGCTGCTGCTGCTGTTGCTGTATTTGTTGCTGCTGTGCTTGTTGAGCTTGCTGTGCTTGTTGAGCTTGTTGTACCTGTTGAGCTTGCTGTGCCTGTTGAGCTTGCTGTGCCTGTTGAGCTTGCTGTGCCTGTTGAGCTTGCTGTTGTTGTTGCTGCTGCTGCTGCTGCTGTTGCTGAGCAGCCTGTTGTTGTTGTTGTTGTTGTGGAAATTGCATTCGATTATGTTGAATGCCCATGCCCGATAATGGTCCAATTTGGCCCATGTTAGGTGAATGCCTCCTTAAATTAGGTGGTACTTTGCCGATCGGCCTTGATGGTAAAATCCTACCAACATCCTGTGGTGCACAAGGCCGTAAATCAGGACCAGCCGCGCCCGATGGTTGAGGCTGTTGTTGCTGTTGGGCCGCTTGCAATTGCTGTTGCTGTTGCTCTTTTCTTTTCTGACGTTTCTCCTCCAGTTCCTTTTGTATTTTATAAATTTTCTCGGCCAACAAGTGATAGTACTCCGACCTAGAATTGGCCATCTCGTACATATCGCCTTCTACTTTCCTTGCGTATGCCACTAAATTGTGCATCCTTTT